CAGACAAAGAAAAGCCAAGAACAAGCATTACCTCAACACATCTTCGGCATAGATCACCTTTCCGGGATTGATCTCTGACAAAAGAATCACCTCCCTGTAGAAGCTGTTCTTCTCCTTCTTCGTTTCCCTCATGCCTCGCTTCACCTCATTGTAAACAGCACCAAGATCATCGAGGCAGCGATCGTTCTCCGCTCGCAACTTCTCGACTTGATCAGTGAGATGTCCGCATTCTTCATCAGCGATCTCAACTTTCTCCTCGGTGCTCATGGGAAGCGCCTCGGCTCTTTGCTTGGGTGGCGAGAGCGAAGGTATCTTTGGCGGCGACAAGAATCGTACTGTGGCTCTTGGCACCGGAGGACCATCGTGAAAAATCCGGAACGATCGTCTCGAGCTCCGGCGTAGTGCCTCGGCTGCCTCCTGTTCTTCCTTCTCAGTTTCTTCTTCTTCCATCTTTTCCAGGTGAAGTTGCAAGCTCCCCTTGCGTGTCACAATCCTCTGGAAGAGAGAGGAAAAACTCACGAACAACGAAGCTAGAATCTGGAAAGAACTTACCGATAGATGTTCCGAGAGTAGCGTATTTTCCATTCGCACTGCCTCTTGCTTCACCTGGAGCGCTTGCAGCTCCTTGTTCCTCTCCATGATCTCGTACTGGTCCATGGCGATCTGCCCTAGCGGTCTCCTCGCTGGAAATCCCAGCTTCTTGGATCAATGCCGGCGGCCGGATCCACAAAACCTCATCGAAATACCCTACCGGGCGATGATCTCCCAGCTTGTGCGCTTGGATCGAGCTTGAGAAGCTGGAGCTCGCCTCGATCGTGTGGCGAAGATCCAGGGCTCTAGCGCGCCATTAAACTCCCCTCTGGCGGTTTTACGCGCATCCGCTGGACGAATCTCGAGAAGCCACGTGGACTTCGTCAGCCCTAAGCTGGGCGCCGGCTGAATCGGCCGAAGCCACGTGTCACTGCCACATGTTTGTGCATTGTGTCCGAAGGAGCGAGCATCGCGTGGGAGTTTAGCTATGGAGGCGATTCTAGGGCTAAGAGCTCCGTCTAGGGCAATCGACGTGAAGACCGGGCTTTCTCCGCGCAGGATCGGCAATGCGAGCTCGAGCAGCCTCAAGATTGGCAATACGAGGGTGGGAGGCGTCACAGATCTCCGCGTTGGCAGAAGCAATGGCAGGAAGAGGAGGATCGATGCGCTGCGATGCAGGGCGGGGCTGGAGGAGATTGCGCCAGCGACGGCGGCGGCGTATGGATTGACGCTTCTCAGTGGCGGATTCTTTGCCTGTGAGTCTTTGCAATGCGAGCTCTTGCATTTGGCAAGAATATAATTCTTTCTTCTTTGCAGACTCGAGAACTGGCAGCAAGGGATCTCTTGTGGGTGGCCTCACTGGCGGCATCGCATTCGCGGTGGTAAGCAAATCTTTCTAGTCATAGCTAGCTCGTCCGGATGATCTATAGCTCGCTTATCTCCTTGGATCGTCTTTCAGGCGTATCTTTTGATGCTCAACCCCGACACGAAAGACCTCGCCAATGCCATAGGATTCGGCGTGGCATTTCTTTTCATCGCAGTTTTTGGTAATCACTCTCTCTTTGCTAGAAAGGACTTACAAATTCTAGATCACACAGGCATTCGTCTGGCAGCAACTCGACAGCCCATCCCGTCTGGATTGCTACTAGCAATCAGCATCGCAGCCTCGGTAGTGTTCGTCAATGCCTACTTCAGTGCCCGGCTGCTTTAGGAGTGCTCCAAGTGTAATAAAAATCTAGCCAGCTCGAGAAACAGAGAAGAGAAGCTCTTGGTGGCCATCTCCAGGTAATGAAAGTGAGCTCTCTCTCTCTCTCTCCCCCTCAGGCAAGACTATTATTCTTTCCTTTTCTTTTCTTTCTAGCCAAAGCTAGCTAGCTTAGCGTTCTCTTGGAGTTTGTCTCTATAGCAATGGCTTGGCAAGATGGCGCAACCACAAGACATCGCAGCTACTGGTAAGCACATAAGTTCTTGCTAAAGCTTGTAATTTACAAAAATGTATACGTACTATACACAGGCCTATCTGGATCTATCCGATGGACATCAAGAACACCGAGTATCAAGCTTGCTCAAGAACGAGACGAAGAACAAGGCCGCGAAGCAGGACCCGGCATGTCCTTGAGTCGGTCGTCGGCGAGCTTGTGAAGTATGGACACGGGAGGAACGTAGCCTCTGCCGGTCATCTCCAGGTAATAATAGTGAGCTCTGTCCATCCTGTTTGCTCCGATCATCCCATTGAGCAGTGCGTTGTAGGTGACGCGATCGGGCTTCCACCAGCGAGTCATCTCCTGGTACACTGCCTGTCCTTCGTTCACCTTGCCCGACTTGATGAGCGCGCTGATGATCGAGTTGTAGGCGTAAGGGTGCGGCATTCCTTCCTTCCTGATGGCGTTGAAAAGCGACACGGCCTCGTCGACCCGGTTCGCCTTGCAGAGATGGAAGATCAACCTGGTCCGCGTCTGGCTGTTTGCAACACCGCTCCTCTCCATCTCGTGAAAGAGCATGCAGCCACCTTCGAGCTTCCCCGACTTGCAGAGCCCGTCCACCAAGCTGCTGTAGACGAAGCTGTCCGGAGGTCAGCCTCTCTCCTTCATGTGCTGGAAGTATAGCGAGGCCTTGGTCAGCTGGCGGCGCTTGCAGAGGCCGGAGATGAGAGCCCCGTAGGTGACAACGTTTGCGGAGCACCGGCTGGAGCTCATGTCGTCCAAGACTCCACAGGCAGCGTCGGTGTTCCCGGCCTTGCAGAGCCCCGAGATGAGAATGTTGTACGTGTAGACGTCGGGCTTGCATCCGGCCTCGAGCATCTCGTCGAAGAAGGCCCGTGCTGCCTCAACGTCGCCACTCTTGCAAAGCCCGTCGATGAGGATGTTGTAAGTGATGGTGTCCGGGGTGCAAAACGCCTTCTTCATCTGGGCCAGCATCTCCAGCGCACAGTCCATCTTCCTGGCCTTGCACAGGCCGTGGATGAGAGCGCTGTACACCACCTCGTTTGGAGCCAGGCCTCGAGCTTCCATCGACTTGAAGATCCGGACTGCCGCTCCAATCCTCCCGGCCTTGGAGAGGCCGTCGATCATGGTGCTGAGAGTTACCACGTCGGGAACGCAGCCGTGGGACGTCATCGTCTTGTAGACCGAGGAAGCTTGCGGGATTTTCCCGGTCTGGAGGAGTCCCCGGATGAGAGCAGTGTAGCAGACGGTGTCGAGAGCCAGTCCCCGCGAAGCCATCTCCTTGAAAAGCTTGTAAGCTTCGAAGGATCGCTTCTCCTTGCCGAGGCCATCAATGAGCGAGGTGTAAGTGACCACGTCCGGCGTGCAGCCATTGTCGACGATCTTGCGAAGGAGATCAATGGCTTCTTCGAGGCGTCCCATCTTGCAAAGACCATTGAGGAGAGCGTTGTAGGTGGCGATGGTGGGAGTACACCCATTGGCAGTGATCTTCTCCATCAAAGCCACGGCCTCTTGGATCTTCTTGTTCTTGGCGAGCCAGTTCACAATGGCGGTATAGGTGTGGATGTCGATCGTGCAGCCATTGGTCGTGGTCTCCTGGGCGAGGGAGTGAGCCTGGATCATCATACCTGCCTTGACGAGGCCATTGATGAGGATCGAGAACGTCGCAGCGCTCACCGGCATGGATCTCCTCACCGCCTCGAAGTGATCCATCGCCGCGAGGACCTTGCCCGACTTGCACAGGCCGTGGAGGACGAGATTGTGGGTCTTGAGCGACGGCGCCACGCCGAAATCCTCCTCCATCTCCCTAATAACCGCGAATGCCTCCTCGGGCTCGCGAGCCAGGCAGTAGCCGGTGATGAGGACGTTCCAGGTCTCCACATCCGGCCGAAATATCGTCGCGAGCTCGTTCTTGAGGAGATTCCCGGCCTCCCTGTGGCGCTTGGTCCTGGCAAACACATCCAGGAGCGCGTTCCCCGTGTGGACGCTGTGCTGGAAGCCGAATCGAGGGGAGGAGAGGCACTGGAAGAGCTCCCAGGCGAGATCGGCGTCCTTGAGGCACTGGAAGATCTTCACCACGGCGTCAGTGGAGATTTCCCGGCGTAGCCTGTCCAGCGCCGCCTCGATCGAATGCCTGGAAGAGGAGGAGGAAGAGTGGAGCATCTGCGCGAAATCCCTGTAGCTCCAGACGCCCGCATTGGAGGAAGCGGCAAGATCGTTCGCCTCATCCTCGGTGGATTCCTGAGCTACCGGCTGCGTGGCGATCGATCTGGCGCGGCTGGGTACCTGTGCAATGCGCGATAGCCGGGCAATGCGCGCGCATCCAAATCTTGCCGCCATTCATAAACCCTAACCCCTAGGGCTTTAGGGCATCTTTTGTTATTCTCTTAGGGCTCATGCGATGGACGAGGACGACGATGGAGGTATTGGATCGCTGTTCCTGGACGAGAAGTAAGCTACTAGGATTAAATCGATTCTATCATCCATTGCTAGCTACGTTGAGCAGCGCATTTCCATCGGCCATCACGATATTCCTGTGCTCAGCCTACAATGCTCTTCCAGTGAGTGTGTTCTTTCTCTCTCGGTTCCTCTCTTTCAATGCGATAGCTCGCAGCGGATTACGACCTCACTGGCCAGATAATCTGGCCTGGCACCGAGCTTCTCCTCAATTACATTGTGGATCATAGCCAAATTTTTCAAGGAGCTTCGATCATTGAGCTGGGCTCTGGTGTTGGTATGAAGTTCTTCGCATGGTTTTCTCTTCTTTCTTTCTTTCTGTTTTTTTTTTTAACACTTGTTCTTTTCCATGGTTTGTAGGAGTGACTGGCCTTTTGTGTGGAAGGATTGGCTGCCGCAAAGTCGTCATGACTGATCACAATGACACCGTTTTAAAGGCACGAATTTTCATGCATTGTTTCTTAAAACAAGTTTGGGGATCGCTGCTAGATCATGAGGAAAAACGTGGCGCTTCAGCAGGACACGGTGTTGCTATCGCGTGAGTTCTTTCTCACTGATATATGATATATGAGAGATCTCGTTTGTTTGTTTGTTTTTTTTTTTTTTTTTCCTCATTGCAGGGATTGCCTGTGAAAAGCTTGAGTGGGGGAATGAAGAACAGCTCTCTCTCATCCTTGACAAGCATCCGGAGGGATTTGACTACATCCTTGGGGCCGACATTTATATCCTTTTGATGGAAGCTTTTTGACTCCAAGTTTCTCCTTGAACAGATCCTATCACGCTACCAGCAATGCAACATTCCTCCGCTAATGAGGACTGTCAACAAGCTTTTGCAACACCACCACTGCCGCAAGTTTTTTCTTGCTTACATCTCTCGCATACAAAGGTTATTTGCTTCTTCTTTTGTGTTTTCTTGAATCTTTTCTTTCTTTTTTTTAGCACTGATCGAGCATTCTTTAACGAGGCGTCTGAGCACAACCTGGAGTTGCGCGAGGTGGAAGTGTCGAGAACCAGCCCAGGTGATGGCATTTACAGCGGTGTGATTTACGAAATCATTCTCAAGCGAGATTGTCACAATTGTCGTACCTTTACTGCTCCACATATTTGAGAACTCGAAGAGCTTCTCAATGGTTTCAAACTCCTCTGGAAACGTTAGCAGTCAACCAGAGAAGATGGTATGCCATAAAGGCTTGGAAACTACACAGCAAACAGTGTTTGCGAAGACTATGTTGGTATCTATATGGTATTAGTAAACATAATTGATCTTTTCATTACACATAGTTGATGATCTGAGTTTTGAATCTCCTTTGCCTGCATTTCAAACTAGTCTTTTGAGCCTTGAATCTCCTTTGCCTAGATTTCAAACTAGTGAAGGATCTATTGCTGAGCAGCAACCTTGTAAAATAAGCTGCCACGAAACATTTTGTTGTTTTTACCCCTCAAAACTCCAGGATGCACTGTCCTGTTACATTGTGCTTTGCTTGCATTGTCTCATACTCAAGGGAATCGTGCTTTCATGTGCTATATTTGTTACGATACTGCGACAGCTTCCCAAATCCCTGCTTGTAATTGCGTTGGTGTACATCGCCGTGACTTAGCTGTAGAGCAGCCGAAATTACAATGAAGAATGATACAGCAATACAAGTTGGGGGCTCAGATGGGAACACGGAAGAACATCAAAATCTTAAGAGGAGAGCACAGAGATTGGTGAGTCTGTCAGAGCAAGTGAAATTTGTGGCTCTAGTATTGTCAGCCCTGGAGAAGGGTGCAACATACATAGGGCAAATAGCATTCGTGGGCGCCACTGTGGTCCTGCTGGGGGGTTACGTCTCTCAGCTCAAGCCTTACGATTTCAAGCTCATTTCTGGTCTGCTGCTTTCAGAGGGTGTGCGAGTGTTCTTAGTCAGCAAGAATGTTGATTACTTAGTAGCCGCTGGGTACCACAAAAGTATCTTTGGAGGGATAGTTTTCTGGGCTTTGGGATGTTATGGCATTTGCTGTTCGAGGCAGTGGTCAAATCATATAAAGGAGCTGTCAATACATCTGATATTCCATGGGCTCCAAGTGGGTAGTGCAGCTGTAACATTTGGTTTCTCCCTTGCTCGGATCAAGTCAGGAGACTACAAACACATCTCGTCGTCGGATGTAGAGGAGGTGGCCAACTTTGTGTTTGGGATCAAGCTGTTCTACATTCTGACTTTGGTGGAGTCATCAGTTTTCTTGGCGGTCAAACTACTGGGTTGGGACTCCTTCGGGTTGTGGCTGAGAAGTATTGCGGGTAAGGCTGAAGCGCATATACTTGCACACCATGTATGCCCACGTGTGCATGAGGCGTTTATGAGAGAGGGATTCAGTAAAGCATTAGGTGTAAATCTTTTCACTTACGTCATCAATTGGTTTTTGGATGAAGAACACCAAAAATGGGATGAAGAACACCAAGAACGCAGCTCCCATCACGAGCAGTTACTGGAGCTCCTTTGCTGGAACATACCTCACGAAGCTAGAACCTTTGGAAGTATCAAATGCATGATTCAGCTCATTGCTCTCGGAACATCATATCATGAAAAACCAAGGCATACTGCAAACAAGATTCTAGCAAAGGTTGTATTAACACCAGGTCAGTTACACAACTTCGTATTAGCGGTGCGAGAATTTGGAATAATTCCTTTGGCGGTTGTGGACTTTGACGTGATCAAATTCCTGGACCGCATTGTCACAGAAGCACCAGTGGGCTTCCTTCCTCGTGAAGCAGTTTCCAAGCAAGCATCCGAGTATCTAATCAAATCCATTATTGACGGAAGCGACGACGAGATCAAAGCCGAAGCGGCCTGGACATTCTTAGAGTGGTGGAGCAGTCCGAGTGTTTACCGGAGCTATGCTTTTGATCCTGCAGATATCTTTCACAGGATTTTCATTCATAGGCAGTGGTCAATATCTAAAAGACAAGTAAGCCATTCCGAGCTCGAAACAGGTTCGGGATATGAATCAGTTACTGGTCCGTTTATAACAGTCTTGAGTAAGAAACATCAGAGGTCAGGTATCATGAACAAGTTTTTGAGTAGGGTGGACTTCAGTAAACTCAAGAACAAGCGAAGCACTATCAACCTGTCTGGCATTGTCACTGAGGTTATTGGTGCCAAGTCAGAGCTAGACGATATTGTAGTTGGGCTGGTGGCTGCTTGGATATGGTTCATGGATGAATCCACTTTCCACAAGGCAATGTCCAACTTGAGTGAAGCGGAGCTGGGCATGCTCAAGAGGAGTCCTCGTATTTATGAGGCTATACTGTTATCTGAGAAGGGAGAATGGTTTCACAACAGACACACACTATCTTTAGAAGGTAAGGGAGTTTATATAGCTGGTCTCTAGCCAGTAACCACCATTTTCTAACACGAAGTTCTTGTAATTCACAAATACAATACGTACTGTACACAGGCATTGGTACCACATCTGGAGATCGACGTCACAGCCAAGAACACTGAGTATCAAGCTTGCTCCTTCAGTCAGTCGTCAGTATGGACATGGGAGGAACGTAGCCTCTGCCGGTCATCTCCAGGTAATAAAAGTGAGCTCTGTCCATCCTGTTTGCTGTGATCATCCCATTGAGCAGTGCGTTGTAGGTGACGCGATCGGGCCTCCACCAGCGAGTCATCTCCTGGTACACGGGTTCACCTTGCCCGACTTGATGAGAGCGCTGATGATCGAGTTGTAGGCGTAAGGGTGCGGCATTCCTTCCTTCCTGATGGCGTTGAAAAGCGACACGGCCTCGTCGACCCGGTTCGCTTTGCAGAGATGGAAGATCAGCCTGGTCCGCGTCTGGCTGTTTGCAACACCGCTCCTCTCCATCTCGTCAAAGAGCATGCAGCCACCTTCGAGCTTCCCCGACTTGCAGAGCCCGTCCACCAAGCTGCTGTAGACGAAGCTGTCCGGAGGTCAGCCTCTCTCCTTCATGTGCTGGAAGTATAGCGAGGCCTTGGTCAGCTGGCGGCGCTTGCAGAGGCCGGAGATGAGAGCCCCGTAGGTGACAACGTTTGCGGAGCACCGGCTGGAGCTCATGTCGTCGAAGACTCCACAGGCAGCGTCGGTGTTCCCGGCCTTGCAGAACCCCGAGATGAGAATGTTGTACGTGTAGACGTCGGGCTTGCATCCGGCCTCGAGCATCTCGTCGAAGAAGGCCCGTGCTGCCTCAACGTCGCCACTCTTGCAAAGCCCGTCGATGAGGATGTTGTAAGTGATGGTGTCCGGGGTGCAAAACGCCTTCTTCATCTGGGCCAGCATCTCCAGCGCACAGTCCATCTTCCTGGCCTTGCACAGGCCGTGGATGAGAGCGCTGTACACCACCTCGTTTGGAGCCAGGCCTCGAGCTTCCATCGACTTGAAGATCCGGACTGCCGCTCCAATCCTCCCGGCCTTGGAGAGGCCGTCGATCATGGTGCTGAGAGTTACCACGTCGGGAACGCAGCCGTGGGACGTCATCGTCTTGTAGACCGAGGAAGCTTGCGGGATTTTCCCGGTCTGGAGGAGTTCCCGGATGAGAGCAGTGTAGCAGACGGTGTCGAGAGCCAGTCCCCGCAAAGCCATCTCCTTGAAAAGCTTGTAAGCTTCGAAGGATCGCTTCTCCTTGCCGAGGCCATCGATGAGCGAGGTGTAAGTGACCACGTCCGGCGTGCAGCCATTGTCGACGATCTTGCGAAGGAGATCAATGGCTTCTTCGAGGCGTCCCATCTTGCAAAGACCATTGAGGAGAGCGTTGTAGGTGGCGATGGTGGGAGTACACCCATTGGCAGTGATCTTCTCCATCAGAGCCACGGCCTCTTCGATCTTCTTGTTCTTGGCGAGCCAGTCCACAATGGCGGTGTAGGTGTGGATGTCGATCGTGCAGCCATTGATTGTGGTCTCCTGGGCGAGGGAGTGAGCTTGGATCATCATACCTGCCTTGACGAGGCCATTGATGAGGATCGAGAATGTCGCAGCGGTCACCGGCATGGATCTCCTCACCATCTCGAAGTGATCCATCGCCGCGAGGACCTGGCCCGACTTGCACAGGCCGTGGAGGACGAGATTGTGGGTCTTGAGCGACGGCGCCACGCCGTAATCCTCCTCCATCTCCCTAATAACCGCGAATGCCTCCTCGGGCTCGCGAGCCAGGCAGTAGCCGGTGATGAGGACGTTCCAGGTCTCCACATCCGGCCGAAATATCGTCGCGAGCTCGTTCTTGAGGAGATTCCCGCCCTCCCTGTGGCGCTTGGTCCTGGCAAACACATCCAGGCTGTGCTGGAAGCCGAATCGAGGGGAGGAGAGGCACTGGAAGAGCTCCCAGGCGAGATCGGCGTCCTTGAGGCACTGGAAGATCTTCACCACGGCGTCAGTGGAGATTTCCCGGCGTAGCCTGCCCAGCGCCGCCTCGATCGAATGACTGGAAGAGGAGGAGGAAGAGTGGAGCATCTGCGCGAAATCCCTGTAGCTCCAGACGCCCGCATTGGAGCAAGCGGCAAGATCGTCCGCCTCATCCTCGGTGGATTCCTGAGCTACCGGCTGCGTGGCGATCGATCTGGCGCGGCTGGGTACCTGGGCAATGCGCGATAGCCGGGCAATGCGCGAGCATCCAAATCTTGCCGCCATTCATAAACCCTAACCCGTAGGGCTTTAGCGCATCTTTTTTGAGTAACATTCTTATTCTCTTAGGGCTCATGCGATGGACGAGGACGACGATGGAGGAGGTATTGGATCGCTGTTCCTGGACGAGAAGTAAGCTACTAGGATTTAATCGATTCTATCATCCACTGCTAGCTACGTTGAGCAGCGCATTTCCATCGGCCATCACGAGATTCCTGTGCTCAGCCTACAATGCTCTTCCAGTGAGTGTGTTCTTTCTCTCTCGGTTCCTCTCTTTCAATGCGATAGCTCGCAGCGGACTACGACCTCACTGGCCAGATAATCTGGCCTGGCACCGAGCTTCTCCTCAATTACATTGTGGATCATAGCCAAAGTTTTCAAGGAGCTTCGATCATTGAGCTGGGCTCTGGTGTTGGTATAAAGTTCTTGGCATGGTTTTCTCTTCTTTCTCTCTTTTTTTTTTTTTTCTAACACTTGTTTTTTTTTCATGGTTTTTTTTCATGGAGTGACTGGCCTTTTGTGTGGAAGGATTGGCTGCCGCAAAGTCGTCATGACTGATCACAATGACATCGTTTTAAAGGCAGGAATTTTCATGCATGGTTTCTTAAAACAAGTTTGGGGATCGCTGCTAGATCATGCGGAAAAACGTGGCGCTTCAGCAGGA